TATTTATGGTTCGATTTTATCTTTAACCTATTGGGGTGCTCCAATAGAAGGAACATATTTGTGTCATAATTTTCTAATCATTTCTCTGCTAGCTGGGTTAATTAATATTGCCCCTATTGATGTATTTTTCTATTGTATTACTTTCTCTAGAAAAAGTGGAATATGTTTACATGATTGTTGGTGTTTATCATATTTCGCTGAGACTTTATTCTAAAAAATAGGATAATTAAGTACAAATATTTCATGACAATGCCATATATATTGAATGGAAGCCTAAATTTGTGCTTTTATTATAATTTTTATCAAATAAACTTAATTATTGTTAAAATCTTTCATTGGATAGGCATGCGTGAGTTGAAGTCTTTTTTTTTTGAGAAAAACGATAGCGTTAGTGAGTTAAATCGTTAGTTGTTAGGGGAAAATGAAATCAAGGGGGATCGAACCTGCATTAGAATGCATAGACATGATTGTTTTCCGTTACTGCAATGAAGCGCCATATGGGAATTGAAGTGTATTCATTTTAGTACTTGACTAGTTACCATGTTGATAGCTTCATATATGGCATATTCCACACTTGCCATTTAATTCAGGTCAAGTTTTGCAAGGGTGCCAATATTATTGGTCAACTATTCACACTAAAAGGTGAGAGAATAAATTGATATCGAATTTGTCATTAATGAGATTCGAATATAAGATCTTAAACTTACAAATAAAGATAAATATCACTACACTGAAGAACAATGCGTTTTGTTACGACAATACATATTGTACCAACAAAAGATGCCAAAAGAAAAGAGACCATTATATTTCAATAAGATCAAATTTGCTCTCATGATGAGTATCTCCAAAGAGGAGCAAAAATTACATGCATTTCTAAAAAGAAGTGATGGCAAATACAATGTATGTACGTTTTAATATTATTTGTGGCTTCTTTGTGTGCTCCAATGAAAGTTGTGAAAATAGTTGGGCCATCTTCATAAGTCGACTATTTCTCTAAATCTAGCTTATTTTGTGCTATTGTTACTCCTACAATGTATGATTTCTAATGATGTAGATGTTAGTTCGTTTTACCTTCATACATACGACTTTTTCTTATTAAAAAAAGTGAATAAGTAGATGATAGTTCGTGTTTACCACTATAATTTAAAATTTTCTCTTACAAAAGTGGAATAATTAAGTACAGATGTTTCAAGACAACTCTTTATGATGGTGGGAATTTAAATTGAAGCTTAAATTTTGTTGCTTTTAATATACATTGCTTTATTTCTTTAGCTAATAATCTGATTTAGTTTCTGAAAATGTTTTTGCACTTAACTAGTTACCATGCTAACATTTTCATATTGTAGGTATGCTTAATCGAGCCCAATATATATATCTCGTTCACCCGATGGAGCCAATAACATAACCGTTTACAAAATGTGGTTTGAAAAGGTAATGACTTTTTTCTTTGAAAACAAAAGATTTTTTAGTGTCTACGGAACATGGAGCATATCATTACATGATATTATATAATTGGAGGGACTTGAAAGAAAAAAATAAGAATTGTATAATAAAATTTGGTATTCTGCCCCCACGCTCCGGCACATTGAAAAACCACTCTTAGAAAGGGAATGAGTTTCATGACACAATGTGTAAGTGGGAACAGTCCATTGACTTGAGATTTCGAGGTGATTATTGGTGGTACGACGTTTAAGGCTGTGCATGGATGTACACTTGTTTACGACGTTATAACAGTTGTAAAAACGTATATGACCTCAAGTTTGTCACGGATGATAGAGATTGGATCCACAAAAGATGTCAAAAGAGGAAATGTCATTATATTTCGATAAGATCAAATCTAAGCATTTTGAATGCATATGGTAAAAGAGTATCTGAAAAATACTGATGGACATTATTGTGCGTATTCACAAAAAACAAAAAATAAATGCATTTCCTAAAAAACCAATGGCCAGAAACAATGTATTTATGTTTTGATTTTATTTTTTACTTATGGGGGCGCTCCTATAGAAGAAAAATTGTGAATATATTTGTGTCATTTTCATAAATTGATCATTCCTTAGTAAACTAGATTTATTAATAGTGCCCCTATTGATGCATTTTTCTTGTTTATCATTTTGTTCCACGTGATGGTTTACTAAATTCAGTTTTTGTTAATTATTTGTAAAAAAAATTAAAAAAAATTCTTTCTTAATTTTATGTATTTGTACCGTGTTGGTTCCCAAGAATCCCACATCGAATGAGATTACAGAAAGTAATTTCACGTGAAGTTTACAAACGGGAATTTGTCTCACATCGAAGAAAGACAACTTGAGAGATAACGTTCTTCCTTATTAAATGAGATATGTCCGTGTAGCCTGACTTGGGTAAACCTATGTATATTTTGTGTGTGTGATTTAAGCATCATCATACAAGGAGGAGTTTGCGTGTGAGATCTAAGCATCATCATACAAGGAGGAGTTTGAAAAGTGAGGATGATGAGAGGAAATTGAAAGTGGGATGAAGGTTGACGGAAATGGGAATTTGGGTGCAAGGGTAATTTTAAGTTTGCCACAGAGGATGTGGACCGTATCCCCAGAAGATGTCAAAAAAGGAGATGCCAGTAATGTCTTGATAAGATCAAATTTGAGCATTTTGAATGGATAAAGTAAAAGAGTAATCGAAAGAGACTCGTGATTCTTATTGTATGTATCCACGAAAAGCAGCAAAATAATGTATTTATGTAAAACAATGTATTTATGTTGCTATTTTAATTTTGACTTATTGAAGAAAAAGTGTTACAATATTTGTGTCCCTCTCTGATAAGTTCTCTACGCTACCTAGGTTAATATTGTCCTATAGATGTATTTCTTAATGTAGTACATGAATATTCATGTTTATCGTCATATATTATGTATCGAACTCGTCATTTACGAGATCTTAACATAAGATCTCATATTTATAATATTTAAATCGTGGTCCTTGTTGTGTATATTTATAATAAGGAGTGGGGGAACTGATTAATAGCTAATTTATCATTTACAAGATTTACACTTAAAGTCTTTCATTTATAAATGAAGAGAAATACCGTTAAACCACATTAATAAGTGAAACTAAATGCTTGAAGTTAACTTTTTATTTTTTATTTTTGATTCTCCATACGTTAAAGTGTGTGTGAAATAATTAAATCAACTTGGCATCAAGGGGACCCCACTTTGTAGGAATACTTATCGTAAAATCAAGCACAATAATATTTTAGAATTCATACAATTAATCTCACTTAATAAGATAAAGTTGTATTAAAAGGACGATTTTCCTTTTTCGGTTACAATTGAAGGGCGAAGGTCGGCGGGCTGCATGCATTGCATGGGATTTGTGTTGTGTAGTGAAACCACTCCATATAGGGGTAGGCACGGTGCGGTTCGGTGCGGTTCCACCCTTAAACTGGAACCGGAACCGAAATATATTAACGGTTCGATTCGGTGCGGTTCCACTTAAATTTATGACTAGAACATTACGGTTCGGTCTACACCGGTTCCGATTCGGTTCTTGCCGGTTTACGGTTCCTAATAATAAATTATTTGAACACCAAATCATTATGCATTCAAATACATCTTCTAAAACTGATTACATAAAGTTGCATACAACACATCTTTTTTAATGCAAATGTCTTTGGTAGTGGCACCAAGTCAACAAAAAGAGACAACTAAAATACATATGCACTGGTCAAACAGTCAACAAACAAAAAAATGATGAAACAAATTGCAGGTTTTCAGACTTCAGAGAGCAAGCAAGAAGCAGCAGCTCCTGTACACAATTTTTCAACCTATTATACCATGACATGTGTGTGTATATATAATTTATTTATTTATTATTAATAAAACGGTTCGGTTCGGTTCGGCCGGTTCTTGGTCATTCGAAACCGGAACCGGAACCGGTTTGAACGGTTTGGTTCGGTTTTTCACTCAAAGTTGACTTTTCCGGTCAACACGGTTTTTTTCGGTTTTTTTTCTTACGGTTCGATGCGGTTTGACGGTTTTTATGCCCACCCCTAACTCCATACACTCGTCAAGCACTCCGGCCGCTCAACAGAGCGTGGGACCCACAGGGAAGTCAGCAAGTTGGCTCTACTCTGTTGCGGGCGTTACGCACGCGATTCTCACGTGTACCCCTTGCATTAACCGGGAACTAAACTTGGAGCCCAGCAGCCCAAAATCTTGTTACTCAAAAAGCCCAAACCCAAATAAGTTCTTTTTTCTAGGCTGAAACCCAAATAAGTGAATGGAGGAAGAAAATGGCCTACATTTTATTTAGATTATCTAGTTTTCTGTTAAATTGATGGTGTGGCATGTGTTGAATCTGTTTTTTGGCATGACGTAGAAGCCACACTTGCATCATCGAGAATCACCGAGATCAAACTACTTGATTTTCGTGTAGGATAGAAAACATGATTGAGAAGAAACTGAAGCCCCACACTGATTAGTCTTTGTCTGCCAAGCGTGACTTTCACGTCAATCCAGAAGTAGGTGTTACACATATCAAGTCATCGAATTAATGAATGACAAAGTGGTCAAACGATCGGAACATATAGGCTTTTTTGTTGTGCAACGATATAGGTAGTGTGAATTGTGGGCTGAGTCCCATAATGAATCAATTAATATTGAGTATTGAACTATGCCCCAATTAAAGTCAAATCTCAGACCTCCCACGTACATATGAATGAAATACCACTAAACTACAATATTTGTCATCGAGGAAGAATATAAAGTTTTTTTTTTTTTTGAAAAAAAAAAAAAGAACCAACTGGTGGCTTTGTCACTACAGTCTACCCTTTTGTGGCCGAGAATCCTCACAAGTATTTTAGTCTCCTATTAACTATCATCGTGCAGTTCACCAACGTCAGAAATCAAACTCATAACATCATACAATGTAAAAACAACCAAGGGTGTGATGTTAGAAGTATGTAGCTAAGAGCTAAGCCCATTTGGGTGGGCTTAAGATTAGACATAAGCCCAAAACAAAAAAGAACAGAAAAAAGAAAGTCAAAGCATTAGTCAAAACCTCACAACTGAACGTTAGGGTTTTTGGTTGTCGCTTTTTCTCAGAGAGTTGGAGCGAAGCGAAGTGGTTAAGGTAAATTCCTCAAATTCTATAAGGCCGCTTTTGGATTGGTATGTTTTCAACGCTCAGGTTCTCAATCGAAGGTTGAATTAACCTTCTCAGCTGCCATTTTTTTTTTTCATTTACAGGAACACCTCCTTAGCCAATCTTTTCTCGCAATGGAAGAACAACGCCCAGGTTCTCTCTCTCTCTAATTGTTTTCTAATTCCATCTGGGTTTGTGCTTTGATAGATAATTAAGCTGAATTTTAGTTTTAATTTTTCAAATTTCATTGCTTTGATTGCAATCTCAGTGAAAACTTCGAAAAGTCGAAAAAACAAAGGTGAAAGGAAAATTGGGAAAAGCTCCAAGTCTCCGGGTCAGGCGAAAGAGCATAAGGACCAACTTGAAAGACTTCGCGAAAAGGTTAGAACTTTGATATTTGTGCAATTATATGGATTTTACACTGGTAAAGTACGAATTTTATTCGTAGTTTGCAGCGGTTGTTGGATTAGAAACTTTCAGCTGGTTGGATTTGATATATGCGATAATATCTACATTTCGTAATTCGCTGTCTTTTTTTTTTTCTTGGTTGTGGTTCCCAAACAACTGTGTTTCTGGATTTTGTGGTCGATTGGCTCGACGATGGATTGCTTCAGCCCGAATTTAAAATGCTGAATGTGATCTTCAAATTTGATGATTTTGAAAAACTTGCATTTTCCGTCAACTATGTAAAGTGAGATGGTGTATAACTTATTGATTTTTCTGACTTTATATCTGTGTTTCATTCTGGTATCGGAGTTTAAGTAATGAAGTTATTCATAATTCTTAACCTGCAGGACCCTGAGTTTTATGGTTTCTTGAAAGAGCATGACCAGGAACTTCTACAGTTTGATGATGAGGACATCGAAGTGAGTATGCAAAAGCTATTAACTTTTCAATATTACTCAGCGAAGCTATGTATTAATATTAAAATTAAGTCTGTCCCTATTTAACACAGGAAGATTCAGATGCTGACTTGAAAGAATCTGAGACACAAGATGATGAGATAGAAGCAGATGAAGACGATGATGATGTTGCACAAAAGAAAAGGAAACAATCTAAAAAAGTTGTTACTAGTGAAATGGTTGATTCTTGGTGCAACGCTATTAAAGAACATGGGAAGTTGAGTGCTATTCATTCTCTAATGAAAGCTTTCCGCACTGCCTGCCACTATGGTGATGATAAGGAGGATGAGTCTTTGTTAGACTTTAGTGTTATGTCTAGCAGTGTCTTTAACAAAGTGATGATATTTGTACTTAAGGAAATGGATGGAATAATGCGGAAATTGTTGGAGCTCCCTGCTTTTGGTGGGAAGAAAGAGACCATATTAGATCTGATGAACACAAAACGATGGAAGAACTACAACCATTTAGTGAAGTCATATCTTGGAAATGCCTTGCACGTCTTGCGTCAAATGACTGACACTGAAATGATATCGTTTACTTTACGGCATCTTCAATATTCATCCATATTTTTGACTGCTTTTCCAGTTCTCTTAAGGAAGTACATTAAGGTAAATGCAGAGATACACGTAATTATATATTCTGTTTAAAATTCCTTATTCTTTGCAGTTATTCTTTAATACTCTACTGCTTGTATTCTGGTTTTACCTTGGGTTGTTTGCACTGCAATCAATAAATCCTATATATTTCCTGTTCCGAAATTTGGGTTGTTTGCACTGCAATCAATAAATCCTATATATTTCCTGTTCCGAAATTAACTTCATTTATAGTATGCCAATATAGAGCATGATGACTGTTCGTTGCAAGTTTGAAGGCCATAAATCCTATTTTAACAGTTTAGATGAAGCCGTGGTGATTATATTCATAATAGATATCTGTTATTGGGTTTTACACTTTTACCTTGCATCTCTCTTTACAAAGTTTTGTTCTCTTTTTTATGTTGGTTACTTGGGAACTAATAATTTGTATTACTTTTCACAGACTGCCTTGGACTTATGGGGTTTAGGGGGAGGTTCCCTCCCTCTTGTCTCCCTTCTATTTCTGAGAGATTTATGCGTTCGGCTTGGATCTGATTGCTTAGATGAATCCTTCAAGGGAATATACAAAGCCTATGTCTTGAACTGCCAGTTTATAACTGCAGCGAAATTACAACATGTTCAATTTCGTGCAAATTGTGTAATTGAACTTTACGGAGTAGACCTTCCCACTGCATATCAACAGGCCTTCGTTTTCATTCGACAGTTAGCAATGATTCTGCGAGAAGCACTTAGTTCAAAAACTAAGGTACTATTATCCTTGAAATATGAATGTTTACCTTTTGTTTAGTTATTGCATTGTCTCTTGTAGGCTAACATGCATCTTTGTAAAACTTAAGGATGATCACAAAAGCCAATGACACTAGCTACCCAACTGAGAGAGATTAACCTAGATGAATTAGTTGTACTTGTGGCAAGAGCGGCTAGATAAACTGCCCGTAAAAGTTTTTTTACATCATTGATTACTTTGAAAAAATTGGATTTTTTTTTTGGTATCTTTGACTACAAATGTTAGCTTTTGCCTCCCTGTTGCAAATTCTAGTTTCTCAATTTCTTTTTTAACTCTAGAAGTTGTATTTAGTCTAAAACGCGTCAGATGCCCTATATATGTGGCATTTCACTTATGTGGTTTTGCATTTGCAGGAAGCATTCCGAAAGGTTTATGAGTGGAAGTTCATGAACTGTCTTGAGCTCTGGACTGGAGCCGTCTCTGCCTATGGCTCAGAACCTGAGTTTAGGCCTGTTGCGTATCCCCTGGCCCAAGTAATTTATGGGGTAGCCCGTCTAGTTCCAACTGCTAGATATTTTCCCCTTAGGTTGAGGTGTATTAGAATGCTTAATCGCATTGCTGCTTCAACTGGTACTTTCACTCCCGTTTCTATGCTGCTTTTGGACATGCTTGAGATGAAGGAGTTGAACAGACCCACCACGGGTGGTGTTGGCAAAGCTATAGATTTGCGCACTGTACTGAAGGTATTTTTTAGTTGGGACATTCTTCTCTGCTTCAAATTCAATACTACATTGTTATTGTTTGTAGGAGTTTGAGGATAATTTTTCTTTCAGGTTAGCAAGCCAACCCTGAAGACCAGAGCATTTCAGGAGGCGTGTGTGTTATCTGTTGTAGATGAGCTTGCTGAACATTTAGCTCAGTGGAGCTATTCTGTTGCTTTCCCCGAGTTGTCTTTTATTCCAGCTGTACGGTTGCGTACCTTCTGCAAATCCACCAAGGTTGAGAGGTTTCGGAAAGCAATGAGGGAGCTCATTCGTCAGGTATGTGGTTAGAGTGGCAAGTCTAGTGACCATATGTGCTCTGCTTCCATGCCTGAGCTTGAGATGTGTGGACTATTGATTGATTGAAAGAAGTTTTTAATTTTATTGTCTAGTGTTTTAATAATTACATCTAAATGTGGGAAAGCCCTGTTGTACATAGCTAATGTTTAAGCTCTTCTATGTCCCAGGTCGAGGCTAATTGTCAGTTTACAAATGAAAGGCGTATGTCAATTTCTTTTCTGCCAAATGATCCTGCAGCTGCGTCTTTCCTTGAGGTCTGCACTTCCATAATTTATCTTTTTTCTTATGTGATTTTGCCATCAATGTATTGTATGTCTGTGTACTTTACCATATTGCCACCAGCCAATAACCATAAGAGTTTATTTCTTGGACGGTGAAAGCTACTAAACCAAATCTGGAAAGATGTTTCCTGACTGAACTATCAAACTTTTCTTTAATCTGAATAAAGGTCTATTGTGATGTATTTCATTGACAAGCCTGCACGAATGATATTTGTGATGTAATTCGTTGGTTACGTGAGATATCTCGAATGCTTTTCCTACAATTTGTTTCATTTTGATATCATCTGGAGAACCTGAATTCCTTGTTATTGTCATAGGAGGAGAAAAAGTCAGGGGCTAGCCCTCTGTCGAAGTACGTTGCAACTCTACGTGAAGTAGCAAAACAAAGAAATGCTTCGTTATCGGAAACCAGGTCTGTATCGTGTTGTCTTTTGAGTTCATATTCACACATCTTGTTTAGTGTTCCATTTTCTAACATGCAAAAGGGTTCCAGTGTTCTTGTGGGCGAGCATTCATCTGTCTTTGGAAGTAAAGGACGAGAAAGTGATGAAGAAGATGACACCAGGGACGAGGAAGGCACTGCTGTCTTTAGTTCATCCTGGTTACCAGGAAAGGATTCCAAGTATGGTCACTCTCTCTCTCTCTCTCTCTCTCTAGTTTTCTTTGCAATTTTGTTTTTGGTATTCGTGTTGAAACATTATTGGTTTTGCAGAGCTGAGCCACCCAAAGATGTGAAAAAGAAGAAAAGGAAGCGAAGGACCGAGCGCCAGGACCAAGTAGCCATGGATGAAGATATTGTTCAGGAGTTGGTACTCAGTTCTGATGAAGAAGATGGGTCTTTAAGCGACACCTTTTCTGCTGAAGAAGATGAAGAGGAGAAACAAGCTCCTTCAAAGCTGGAAAGCAAGAAGCCGAAACGCTCAACAAATAAATCAAAGAATTCTTCAAAACCTCAAGCAAAAAGATCAAAGAAGAGCAAGGCGGCTAACTGAAGTGACACAAGTATCTCGTGCGTGCCCGTCCGACAGTCTCCATTGTTTTGTCGATCTTTTTCCTTTTCCTAATGGTGTATTGAAGAGCTTGTGAAAACCAGCTTTCTTGAAAGTTATGCATGAAATTCATTTTTGATCAATGTCAAGATATTATTTTGTGTTTTTTCTTCCCTCTTATATAAGTAGAATTGCAAGAAATATTTGTTAGACAAATCTCAACATTTTATGGAGGGATCGAATTTCAACTTAGACTTTAACCTAAGCTGCTACTACTACCAAGCGTGTTTCCTAAATGGAAAGATTAATTTGTTCAAGTTAGATGTCGACGTCACAATTAGTTCTGTTTATGGATGAATAACTCAAAGGAATTGACAGGAACCTGCACAAGCGGTGCAGCATGTGGTTTAATTCGACGCAAAGTGAAGAACCTTACCAAGGCTTGACATGCCCCGAATCCTTTTGTGAGTTTCCGACCTCATACGGCTCAACGGTCAAATTCTCTTGGTGTCCTATTTTTTAATTACCCTATCTAATTGAATGAGATTTCTCAGAGATATATTCCTTTTTTGTTTTCTCAAGTTTTGTCTTTTAACTCTCTGAACTGTAACACCAGTTGAATTAAGAACTTAAGCTGACCCCTTAAGTTAGACATGGATGGAATCTAAAAACAAGGGGTGAATTGGCTAGTTTTCAAAAGTTTTAAGTCCTTAAATTGACTAAAAAACTAGTTTAGAGCGTCAATTTCACCTGGTGTTATAGGTCATGGGGTCCAAAGACAATATTCCCTTAATGAGAAATGCATGCTAACTGTATTTTGAGTGTGAGTTCTAATAACGCCACTCAATTATTATTGTTTTGGTGAAGTCTAGAGCCAAAGCAACCGCAAAGTAGATATCTAGTTCGAATAATTGATACTAGTAATTGCACACATGGCTATATATGTGCTTCTTAAAAATTTAAAGTAAAATACTAGGTAAATTACACAAAACTATCATAATTATTGATCGAACTACAATCACATACCTTATGTTTTAAACAATATAATGACATACCTCAACTGATAAATTCGTTGCAATGTCAGATCTCCGTTGAATTTTCTATCAATTTAGCTGTTAACTGTTGATGTAGTAGGCAACTGGCCCACCAACTCACTCAATTGAATTGATAAATTAATAAAACATTAAAAAATCAATAATTTATTAAAAAATTAAGATTTTTTTTTTTTGGTAACAACAAAACTAAAGTAATAAAGAGGGTCCCACCACTAAGCTTAGTCATTCCTCCCCATCGAGGCCAGGCGCCAACCTCACCTTCATAACTCTGGCGAAGTCATCTTCTTCTCCGGCCACTGGATTTTCCCCGCTGGCGATTATTTCTGAAATTTCTTCTCTCTCTGGGCTCGTCTAATTATGAAATTTGAAGGTTATGGAGGAGAGAGAAGGAGGTGCTAGGCGAGTTGACTAGGCATGGAGGAGAGAGAGGTGCTGGGTCGGGTCTGCAGTGGTAATGGGCATGTGGGGACTGAAGATATTGAAGGTTTTGAGCTTCTTGATTTGCATGGGTTGCTGCAGGAATTCGGTCTCGATCTGCAGGTGGGGATCTGTAGCTATCGCTGCTGCGGAGAGGTGGGGCGTCGCAGGTCAGGACACGAGTTGCAAGCCGGTCGTGAAGAGGACCAACGTTCATCAAAATTCAGGCCTTGCTGAAGCCCAGGACTTCGTGGTGGCTGCTGTTGCAGATCTGCAAATATTGAAGAAGACGACATTTTTGGAGGGGAAGAGCGAAGAGAGAGACATCGTGAGTGGCTAGTTTCGTGGTTGAGTGGCAAGCGTTGATTTGAAGCTCTGGTGGCGGGAAGGATCATACGGCAAAGATTTTGAATCCATGGTTGCATAGGACATGACTCCTTTTTTTTTTTTTTCAAGCTCTGAGGTTGCTGCGAGTTGCAGCTGTGGGTGAGTGTGATCGATTTTTGTAGTTCAAGGTGTGGGTTGCTGAGTTAACCCCCAATCAGGTGGCCGGAGAAGAAGAGGACTTCGCCAGAGTTGTGAAGGATGAATGTGTGGGCCAACTGCTTGCCACGTCAGAAATTAACAGCCAAATTGACAGAATATTTAACGGAAGTCTGACATAGCAACGAATTCATAAGTTGAGATATGACATTGTAATGTTTAAAACATGATGTATGAGATTGTAGTTCGACCAATATTTGAGGTAATTTTGTATGATTTACCCTAACATATTTTCAAAAAGAGGAATCATAAAAGGGTCGATAAATCTTTTAGGTGACGACCTTTAAACAATTTTTCATTGCTGAATAGGCCAATCATATCTTTAGCTAATCTTGTAACTAAAAGTTTATTTTATTTGAAAGAAAAATATGGAAGAAAATAACGAGACAACTGATATGGATACATGCTTGTAAGGCTTTTGAAAAAAAAATATATATATATATATATTTTGCGTTTAATTTACTATATCAACCATAACTTTTTAGTTATTTTTCTTTAATTTGGTTGGCAAGATTAATTTGGTATTTTCACTTCTTTGTGGTTGACATAGAGAATTTTGTTAATAAATCGTTTAGATTAGGAAAGTACCACATGTGATGCATGTGGTACGAGTTAAAAAAATAAATATATTGCTTGTAAAAACTGTAAATTATGGATGTGGGAGCGTACTTACTAGTGAGTATTTTATATAGCCACATTTTAGTTTGGTTTAATGATATTTTAACAAATGTTATGTAATTTTTTTTGAACTTTAAAAAATAAGGTACACGTGACATCTTTTGATTGAGCCAAATCAAAAAGCAAGTATATGTATGAGATATCACCGGTGAGTACCTAATTATTATCTGTGAAAAAATAGATAGTGATTGTATTACATTTCAAATTCTATTATACTATTGAACTTATTAAATTCAAAAGAAGCAAAATAGTAACTTTACACTGTTTATAGCTTTGCCCAGTCCTTTGTCTTAGTGTAAATATTGTTGTATTAATTTATGTCATTTGATCTTCTCAATTTATTTGATTTGACGTTTAAAAATAGAGAAGGGTGTGTAAGAAGTAAAAAAATATGTGTAAATAGCACACCCTTAAAACTATGACATTGGATAGCTTAATTTCACCAAATGTTATAGTAATTATTAAAGCAAAAAAGAAAAAAAAAAGACTGTTATAGTAATAAGTAATTATAGAAAATATTAATTATTCTTTTAAAAAATAAATGAAATTTATTAATTGGATAACCATCTTTAAGCAAATTTGGAAATGGTGTATTGTCTCTAAGACTACATCTAAGCGATTAAATATTCTTCCAAAATAAGACAGAGGCAGTAAATTAGTTACTTTTTTAGTTCAGTTTTTTTTTGTTTTTTCTAATAGCTTTTCTATTTATAAATTGCACTAATGAGTTTTGAGTTCTACAAGTGGCAATATTAATTTCCTCTTAAAATTCGACAATTTAACAAATAAACCACCAAATTAATAGGTATAAAATGTTGTTTATATATATATATGTGTGTGTCACTACAAAAAATATGGGCACTGCGCACAATAAATTATATGTGCCCTTTGAGGCCAAAGAGCACCAAGACATGTGCCCATAGACCAATAGCAACAGTGCAGCTACTAAGTTTGTATCTGTGCCCTCTATGGGCGTCACCATTGCTAAAAGGGCACAATTCACTGTTTGGTGCTCAAAGAGGCAGACACAAATGGACCATTATTTGTGCCTGTTTCTGACAACTTTATTAAAAGACCTTTTCCAGCCATATTGACACTTATATTATAATTGTGCCAACAAGAATTAAATATTAAAAAAAAAATCAAAATTGAAAAAACTGAAACTGAATTGAGGTAATTATTATTTTTTTTTTTTAATTTTCATAAAATGTAGAAAGCCTACAACACATTCTCAATCTCAGAAACATATATTGTAATGTTACATATTTCATCTCTAATGCAAAAAGAACTTGAAAGCAGACATTTTTGGACAAATGCATCTTCCCTAGCAAGCCTTGCACCTCATCAGAAGCTAAAACAAATATAGTCGACTTCAAAACAAAATAAGTCCAAAATTACACCTAAAAAGGAGTTGGTTAAAATCAATACGTAAAAGTTCCAGATCTGCCATATCAAAGATTCACCTCCTTTTCCAACTTGGTGGATGGTGCAATCATCCTCCTGAAATCCAAATGAAAGTGAAAATGAAATTAAAAAAATAAACAAAGAAAGGACCTATTTCCAGTCATGTTCAAGGACCAAAACTTTCAATCGGCATTAAGAACTCAATAGCAGTGATGCATTGCTACTTTGTTATACCAAATTACAGTGAACAAAATATGCAACTAAATTAAGCAGCTAAACCATCATTACCAGCAAACAAGATGTACAAAACAATAAAAGTTTGGACAATCATTGTTATGACATTAATTTCTAAGAAAGATAGAAACTGCTAAGAACCTTATAGGCTCTACAACGCACAAGCTAATAAATAAGTATTTTCAAATCTAATTTTTAGCTTTAGTGAAGTCTTCCATGTTTCCATACGGAAAGATAAGATTCATGGAGCTGTTTAGTTTCTTAAGACTGTATGTTTCCTCACTGTTCGGTCTCTCCTAAGAGCAACCTAAACACTTAACTACAACTAAAAACTTGCAACAAAGCCCTCAAGTGGGTACTTGTAGGCTGTACCAATGTAATATATAGTCCATCCCTCTAAAATCCTTCCCCACTATTAGTTGTGTATAAACAGTTAAGAAGCTACAACATAACAATAGCATATGTTCATTTCTAACAATAAAATCATCCAGTAAGAAATGTACTCCTTATTAGACATCGTAGTGTTTTAGGGAGTGGAAACTCAAATCCGATCTTGACCTTTTATTATCAACATAATGTGATCATCAAGAAGTTAAATGAAGATAACAAATTAAATTTATGTTCATTTGCTAATAATGAAACAAGTAACAAACATACTTCATAAGTGACGTTTATTTGCCCTAATTGTCAAAACCACAGCTTTCCTGCAAGGCATCAAACAAGAAACCTCTTTTCCTTGAAAGTGAAAACAGTTAGGAATAAAAAGGAAAAATTGATGGGCATGGTAACAATACAAGAAATCAATACAATGCAATGAGACAAATCCGACAAAATTCACACCGAATGCCACATGAATTTTAGTTATGGAGATTTTGAGAAAGACTGAAAATTCATCATAATGAAAATCTGCTTATCAATGAGAGTGCACAACATTGTAACATTAGATTCAGAAAATGGTTTTGATTGGTTTTGATAGGAAGCATTGTAAGTTAATCCCAAACATTTAATTCATGCTTCCAAAATTAACAAATTCTACAATTGCAAGAGAAACCCTAATTAAATATCTTAAATGCCAAAACCAAAAACTGCCCTTATCTGTTGGAAAATAAGATCCTACCATCTTCTCTATATTCTCCACCACAATTACATTCTCATATCTGCATTACCAAACACATAAAAACAGGGCAATCAACTCTCCATCCAAGAAAACAATACAACATTGTTATGACATTATCTTTCCATTAGCTCCACAGACGAACTAATCTGGATGATATATGCAACATTTGGACCTCTCATTGCCAAAGTCATGACTAGTATTAAAAAATTAAAACCATCGATCTAATTCATTAAATTTGATCAACAAACAGAACACACAAATGTAGAACTACAAAAATTGATAGAAGAGAGACAGGGAGGTACATGAAAATTGTGTACGATAGGAGCGAGTCTCCAAGTGAGTAAACAGTGACGTGCACACAGAAAATAAACAATAATAAATAACCCATAGGCTTATTCCATGCATTTTGAAGGGGACCTAGTTTCCTTTTTAATTTTACTTGGAATAAATAACACTTTACATTTCATCTACAACCTAAAACAACAAAACAATGTAGGAAATGGTATAAAACAAACATTAAAATACAGATGGTAAGGCCCAAACCTATGACTGAAGATATTTGATTGCTAAATGATTAGAGCTTGAACTGGTTCTACGCAACTTCTACCCTTCATACTCATCAAATGATCTGTAATTGCAGCAACAATAAAAAAATCCATAAAAATCACTTAAAAATGTCTGCCAAATACCAAAAAAAATTCAAATTTTCTCTAGATTTAGCCTAACCATTTTGCTAATTCCCATCAAAAACATTTTTACTGCATTTGACACCAGTGGACTAAGTTCCTCATTTGTAAGCAAAACCAATTCTTTTTTTACACTGTAAATATCATCAAGTTTAATCTTTTTATCTCCTTTTATTCCTACCAACTACAACCTCTTTTTATCTCCTTTTATTCCTACCAACTGCGACCTCTCTCCCAAATTACACACTTTCTAATATCATTTTCTCACCAATTATTACAACAAAATTTCTAACTTGTTTTCTTTTCTTCTCAATATTTACATGGGAAATAATTTGAAATGGTGGAGCTTTTGACTCAATCTCATGGACATTACAACAGGACATCCAATCTCAAGATGGAATAAGATTAATCAGGCGGGAATTATAATGGAAGACCTTTTTAACACCACTTGGTCAGCACCTTCAGCAACTTAAACAGTTTGGCTCTTAAATAAGCAAGCGTGTTTGTTCCTCATAAACGAAAAGGTCAGAACGACATGTGCTTTAAACACAATATTCATCCCCAAATTGAAAACCACCAATCCAAAAAAATAAATTAGATGCACTGACAAAGCTAAAAAATATGGCCAATATCAAACTCACCTTGATGCCCTGTGGATCAGCAACCATGGTCGGAGAAGAAGAGAGAATGAAGCTGCTCTAAAGGTCACCGAGTATCAGGTTCTGAGTGGGAGGAGAAATAAAAAAAAAAAAAAGAAATTTCAATCCGTTTATAAATCCAAAATCACAAAACCCCATATTTGAACAAAACAAAACCCCCAAGATGTAAGACTTGAAAAACTTACCAGAAAACCCTAGCTTTTCTGGGCAAAAAATTCCTTCAAATCAATCTGAAATACTGAAGATGCTTACCTGAGTTCAATAAAGATCAAAATTTAAGCAACTTTCTCACCTGGAAATGTTGGATTAGAGGAGCCCAGAAATTCCAATCGAAACCAAATTGGTACAAATTTCTGAAACCAAAAACCAAACCACATCAGATATTCTAAAAAACCATCTAAGAAAACGTAGAAAATTGAAACCTAGTTCGGTGAGAAACATACAACACTTACTTGCAAACAGTGATCAAATCAGCCAAAAAATAATTCCAATCGAACCATAAAAAGGCCGAAATTAACAATTCTGATAAGTAATCGAAGAACAACAAAATCAACGAAGCAGCACAACGACAGAAAATAGAATCCCAGGCGAAGAGAAATAGGCGGCGACAAACAAACTAACTCGAGGTATGCAAGAGAGGAAAACGGAAAGAAATATCTAGAACAACCGAAGCCAAAGCACCCAGTGATGAAAGACACGTAGAAACATAAGGGCAAAACGGTCTTGTTACTGTAGAAAGGCAACACCAAAATGGAGAGGACGAAAAATTTTGAGGGGCTGTTTCGCCATTTTACTGCTCTAGAACAGTACCAGGGAGTTTGAGTTTTAGTATATACTAGTAATAGAGCCCGCGCGTTGCTGCGGGTTTTAAAAGTTTATAAAACATGTATAAAGTTGTATTTCAATAGTAGAAAACGATAGTAGGCAAGAGAAGCAAAGAGCTAGGTGCATAACAAAGCTTCAGTAATGCATAAATGATTTCATCAAATGTAAAGGAAAGGATTGCTAACTACTAAGACATGCAACTAACACAAAAACAGTTACTCTTGAGCTCACAATTATGATTGTTGTTTGATTGAGATTATTCAGCTCAATCTGCTTTGTTCATCTATTTCTTACGCTTTCTGTGTTGATCTCTCAACCCTGAAAGGAATAACAATATCAATACAAAAACAGTCAAACATAGCCACAGAAGCCAAACACCAACAATCTCTCATATCCTCCACGCAAAAACACATAGAAAGAAAAAGGAAGAATATGTACGTGTTTTCTCCTCTTCTCTTTTCCTCCTAAAGATACTCACAATGGATATCATTGACAGTGATAATATATTATTGTTTCTTTGGTCAAATGTAATCTAATATTATCAATTGGTAGTTAGTTCTAAAACATTGTTTTTGCCAAAAAAACGAAAAAAGAAAGTTCTAGAAAGATGGATCAGATATATTTGGTTTGGTGTCTCTATGTAATATAGAGATATAATGTAAAAATAAAAATGAGTCAGCATTAGTATGTTAGAATCAAACTATTCAGATTTCCATACAAAACAAAACCATATGGACCCCATTTTTGTACAATAACTCGCAGATGCTGTAAAATACGTCTAATACAGGGCAAATAAATACTGATAAAAAATTGTCAAATGATAAATACAGGCTTCTCTAAATAAGCCCATGCAACTACACACATAGAAATAAATCGATAATAAGAATATAAATATGTATACCATGCCTTGAAAACAATGAATAAATTAAATCATCATCTTGACAATTATAAAGAAAACCAACTATATGATTAACAAAAATTCAGCCTAAAAAGAAACACAGGACATAAAGATCTATTATAAATTGTCGCTTACATCAGAAACAAATGTTAATTTATTCAAAATCAAACATGGAAAAAAATATATATATGGAAAGAAGAGAATAGATAATAAGCGCGAACAAATTTTGTTCAGATTATTAATTCATATTGCAAATCATAGGTCACAAATTGAAACCAAATGATATCATTAAAGAATACCTTTTGTATTATGTCTTTATATTGATTGCCAACAAAATGGTCTTCTTTTTTTTTTTTTTTTCCTTTCTCAACCCAAAGTAGAACCACCAATCCCTGTAATGAAACAAAATATTGTTCATAGAAAATTCCAAAAATTTAATTAGATTTAACCAATACAGTCCTAAACCTATTTAATCTGAAAAATATAAAAAGAATTTTGTACATTACAAAATCAAATCAAATCATATAATCTCAAACATTTTATTCATACCTTTTTTATTGTCTTTATACCGATCACCAACAACCTTTATATATTTTTACTCAATCTTTGAAAGTGAATTTTTATAAAAACCTGCAATCATGACCAAAAAAAAATTAATATCACAAAGATAGAAAAAAATTGCAGCCTTGAATATTTATAACATCAAGAGAAGGACCACACAAAGATAAGATTGATCAAGAAAGATACATTTGTCCACCAAAGTCCAATAAAATACATTCAGAAAAGCTGTTCAGTTTTTACACTTATTGATCAAATGGACTTTAAAAACGAATTCAAATGAACTAAACGGAAAAGAATAACAAAAATTATTGTAAAAAAAAAAAAAGAATTTAAGCATATTAAGACCATGCACTGACTAACTCTTTGACTAAATCATCAACACTCTAAATACGAATAAATAAATGTGCAAGTAGAGGTGTAAAGTAGAGGATCCCATAATTGTCCCAATGTTAATTTCATGAGTAGTTTACGAAGACATGTGAGGACAATAATTACTTTGTCAACTGATTTAAACAATGAGATTCCAAAAAAGACAACCCCGTAGGAGACACACTATAGTTTCTGCCCACCACAGAGCTTAATCTCTGTCCACACACTATCCATACCCCTTACTGAATCAAAACCCCTAAATCGAACTGATCACAAAACTGGATTACTGCTCTTACTCTGTTAGACATACCCACAATTATCAATTTACACATAAATTTCAATTCTGAATCATTGGGGTTTCCAAAAAATTCCACAGAAATGCAAAAGTAGACAAATGAACTGAAACAAAATTATGTGCACTGGGGAATCAAGACTCACCCAAAATTGCTATCCAATGCCCTACAATTGAGAACACGTTTACAAAGCCTTTCAAAGGCTCATATTCAACTTTCATATGCAAAGACTCTAAGCTCCAATTGTTATTTCTCAACTCTAGTTACTTCAGCTGCGTAACAGAAAGACAAAAAAAATTATTTAACTATAATTAACTAATCTGATTTAAGATTAATAAAAAAAAAGACGGAAATTTCAGCTTTAAAATTACATCTCAGGCTGGAAGTCGAATAAAAAACGTAGAATTTCAAAACTCCTCACCTTAATGTCAGAAACCCGAAAAACCGGATCTCCTGAAACCAAAAAGAAAACCAAATTAAATCTGAGGCCAAAATTCCCAAAATCACAACCAAAAAATTTAAATGAAAAACCCGTTTATAAATCCAAATTTACACTCCCAAGCACATAACATTCAAAGCCCATACCAAATCGGCAGCAGGAAACGTGATCCGCTCCAAATTTTCTGCAAATCGAGACCAAACTGACTATTTTTTAGCAAGCGAGGGTTGTCGTCTGCAGCCTCCGACAAAAGGATCTAAACAAATTTTACTGACTTAACCATTTTTTGGAAAAAGGCGAGACACAGAGAGAACTCGAGATGGGAGAGCAAGGCCAGGATTGAGAGAAGGTTTGTGAGACAGAGATAGAATTGGAAAGAAGAGTCCAGAAAAGAGAAAAGTTGAAGTCCACGAAGAAGGGATACCCTCTTCTGAAATCATCGACGACAAACGCGTGGCAAAGGAGGGTAGCGATGCCATTTCACTGTAGCAAAGATGGCAAAAAATTGACTTAACAAACGAATTGAGGGCCATTTTGGTCCGCACACTGCTCTAGAACAGTAACCAGAAGTTTGGGTTTTAGTATGTATAAATTAATTATGGGCACAAATAATATATTAGAGTCCATTTTTTTTAATAAAGCTGTCAGAAAATGTATTTGTGCCTATTTTGTTTTACAATAGGCACAATCAATGGTGCCCTCTATGAAATGGGAACTGTTTCAGTCTTTTGATGGTCAAACAGGCACAAAATTCTCAATGGTGTCCTTTATTTTGTACCCATAGCTCATTTTTCTTGTAGTGTGTGTGTGTGTGTGTGTGGGCGCGCGTGCGTGCGTGCGTGCGTGTGTAGTTGTAGTTGAGAGCTGACTTCTTTTAACTTATCAATTGGCTTCTTTAATTTTTAATTTAAAATAGAGTGAACGTATTTCAGGAAAAATAGGTGATTTTTGCATGCAAAATTTATACGTGTCTCAGTGTCTCACAATGAATCCTTCATATATATATGTATGTATGTATGTATGTATGTGTACAATTTAGTTTATATATTTGTGTATAAATATAAATAAAACATATCGATAAATTGTCCAACTACATTGTATTACCTCTTGATTAAAAGTGAAACCTATTTATATTGGTGGGTCCTACCACTTAAAATTTGACAATTTTACAACGCACTCTACCTAACATTATTCTACCGCTCTATCGCGTGTTACACGGGATTATTTACCATATAGGGATGAAGGCAATTACTTAATAGGGTAGGTATGAACCTCCAGATATATAAGAACAGTCTACATACGATGAAGGTACAATGTACGGGCACATTGTCCCGCCCTTTTTCCATATATGAAATGAACAATCACACCAACTCTCACACAATACAGTCTAGAAGGGATTAAGCCATTTGGTTTATTACACTTCACATAAAAAAGGGTCCAAAATTCCAAATTACGGTGATATATGTAGGGTACTATGCTAGCTTAATCTATGGTAAATATGCAACCCCCCCCAAAAAAAAAAAAATAGTAGAATTATATGTGTGAAGCTTACTAGATTTTAAATAATAAATTTCCAATAATATTTTTGTTGGACTTCCCATAAAAGTTATCCTATTCCCTTTTAGTGTTCTATAGTCATTCCAACATATATATATATGTGTGTGTGTATCTTTCAATCATCATTTGTTACTACCTGAGCAGTGCCCTAGTTACCCTTTGTAAGTTCCTCTCCTTTCTTCCATCCCCGAAACTTTGATCTTTCATCTCTCCTTGGGTGTGCAAATGTCTTTCTTCATGTGTATGTCGGCTATCTAGCTAGCTACCCATATATGACTGATGATCTTGAGAGTCGAAGAGAGGAGATCAATTTACCCATGATCATATCCCTCTCTCTCTCTCTCTCTCTCTCTCTCTCTCTCTCTCTCTATGTTGTATGAAAAGATCTATATTAATATCAGATCTATGTGTATGTGTTTCATACATAAATAAAGATCGAAAAGGAAAAGGGGAGATCTATTTATTTATTTTTATCTTGATCATGATAATCTCCTTTGGAAAAGCTTGTGTTTTTGGCGTATTTTTCTTAATTTTTTTTATTTGTGAAAATGTTTTATATTTTTCTTTTTTTTTTTATTTGTTAGTTTTGGTTTATTTTTGTCAAATAGGGACGAATTTCACGTCTGTATTCTATATGGCATGTCCTAAGTTCGATTCCTGGCACTGGTGAATCACATGATGGTGGCAGGGGAGATTGAAATGCTCTGTGAGTCTTCCCGGCCACCGGAAGAGTGGATTGCCGTGGCAAAACTACCTGTTGGTCCCCTTTTATTTTTTATTTTTTAACTTTTATTTATGTATATGTTGGTTTTTCATGATCCACGGGTTGAATCGTTGATCAAGGCAATCAACGATTTGTGTTGGTTTGCTAAGATTTCGCTTCAATGGTTTGAACCGTCCAATTTTCTGCGTTTTCATTCATAGAACATTCTTGATTTTTTTTTTTTACTGAAAAATCATATATTGAGATTTTTAATTGTAATGAATTAAATAGACAAAACCGGTTTTCCGAAAAACACTAAAACGACTACCATTTATTCAAATGGTTAATGTTTTTCTACTTCAAGTTTTTAAATTTATTATTTTTTCTCGCAGTTGATATTTTAGAGAAGCCCTAAACAATCCGGATCGTTAAGCTACAGTATCTAGTGAGCCCTACAAAGATGTCCGTCAAATAAACTTTTAATCTTGTATGTATGTGTTTATAATTTGGGACAAGATCGGATCAACATATATGGTTGGTTTCCCTCATGATGTTTGAGAGATCTTAGATCATCGTTTTGATCTTTGATCCCTCTCACACACAACCACTCTCTCACAAACTCTGCAGTCTCAGTGATGTTTTTCCCTTCTTAACTACGTATGAAAATTGTTGTTTATTTGTTGTTTGTCAACCTTCCAGATGATTCTGTGTTATCCCGCCTTCATGTTCTTCATTTAAAAATTTCATGCATGAATCTCTCTCTCTCTCTCTGTACTGTTACATATGTGTATCCATAATCACTGACTTTGATATCTGATATGTAGAATTTCCAGGAGAAGAAAAATGGGTTTCGGAGGTGTTCACCGATCTCAACTGATGAACTTTGCTCCACAAAATCAATTCAATATGGAAGGCACGGGTTCTGGCTTGGACCTAACCCTGCGACTGGGATTATCGTCCAACAACCATGGTGGAGATCATTTTCGCCCATACCTCAATGAAGCACTGCCTCGGGTATTTCTCTACCCTTTTATTCTAGCAATAGCTATAGAGTAAATCACCTTTCATTGTTTCCTATATACCTATATATATATACATATATATATATATATTATTCAGTTATTTTACGTAGAAATGGTTGTTAATTGTCAAAGTTGATATCGATATTTGTAAGGTGCAATCTCTTATTTGATAATCATTTTGCTTTTAATTTTCCGCTCCCGTTGTTTTTGTTTAAGATATGATTGAGGGGTGCTAACCATTCATCATTTAATTGATGAAAGTATCAAATGAGTGCTTCAAAGTTTTTATTTGAGAGCTATTCGCTCGCACTCTCTCATAAAGTATAATAGTAGAGTACACTCTCTCGCATTAGAGTGTAGTAGTAGGTAGCACTCTCTTATGAACCTTAATAATAACACTATTTATGCTATTAAATATGGAGACGGATTTGTGATACTATTTTTTTAACACAATTTTGGATATAAGTTTTTGTAGGATTCATTTTGTAATGTAATGTACTTTAACTATTTGATCACCGTCTATCTTTTAAAACATCATTCTAGATCATCCTTGCAAAAAATTAAACAAATTCAAAATCATTAAGACATCCATTTATAGAGAGGGAAATTAACGAATACGGATCTACAAAGAAAAACTAAATTTAATCCAATGGTCATATATATGGTTTTAGATTTAAGTGATTTTTTGTAGATATAATTTGTTAAAGAAGACCTAAAATATAAACAGTTCAGATTGTTGAAATATATTACGAAATGGACCTTATAAACCTTGTGTCAAAAGTTGTGAAAAAAAAAAAATAGTGCCACGGATCAGTCCGAATTAAATATTTGTTATTCTCACTTGAAATGTCAGATAAGAACATCCGTCAAAAGAAATACTGTTCTATTAGAGTAATGTGCTATTTCCATATGATGCCCCCATTTACGTGTTTCCATTGTATAAATTTTTAGGAAAACTAATGAAAAGAGTTTGAAAACTTTGAGTTTTAATGATAATAACAAAATAAAAGGTAAATTGAATAGTACCATGATTGACTTTTTAGTGAAAAAATTGGTTTTTGAATTGACTTTTTAGAATAAAAATGTGATTTTTCGTTAAAATGAACAATACCGTGGGCTTTTCGTTAAAACTCGCTAAATTTTTTCTATTCTTTAATAAAGATAGTCGTCAGTGTCACCCGCAAAATCCAATATTTATAAAGTACCCCTATATATCCTCCCAAAAGCAAACGTGATTATCCGCGCTTAAGGGAATTAAACCATCACGGCTTATTACTTAATTTTTCTTTGATTATTCAATTCATTGACTAAAAGAAAAGATAGAAATTTAGAAGGTGAACGCAATTTCATCTTAAAGGGGCTTGCAATATCACTGTTCTTAGTTTATATATACGTATGTGTGCATGTGTGCATATATATAATTGTAACAGTGTGATAAATACCACCAAAATTTTCGATTGCCCCTCTTTTTCTTTCTGTTATTTCGAGTGCTCATATATTTACGTGGGTTCAAGCATGTATGCATGGTCAATTAATACTAACGTTGCTCCATCTTATTTGTTGTTTGACAGGCCAGTAACCAGTTCAGGTTTAACCATACCAACCCTGCTGTCGGTACTACTTCAAAGGCATACAATGTCCCAAAGCCACCAAAACCCGATGACTACTGCGACATCGACATAACCAACAAAACATCGAGAACCGGCGGCTCCCGCAAAAGGAACCTGACGAAGGTCCGCACTGTCCAGCCGGATGAAAACCTAATATGCACTAATTTTAACTGCCGCGTGACCAAATCGCCAATGTGGCGCAAAGGTCCTCTGGGCCCTAAAGTATGTTCACACCACTCTATCAAGTTTTGTTTTTGTTTTTGTTTTTTTGTTTTTCAAAATTATTAGACTGGCGCAAAGGTTCTCTAGGCCCTAAGAAATATGACCCGTCGACGTATGTGGATCCTATCTCTATTAAAGAGATGATACAAATGGTTATACAATTAGATTATAAGAGTAGCATTTTTGAATCATTAATCTATTTCATAATTCAACTCTTAAATACCATATAATACGCATATCATTATCGGCATGTCGACTAAGAGAAACAACTCTATAATACCATATAATACCATTTACTATAACAATTAGGCATTGGGTTGTGTCTTTTGGATCTAAAGGTGACAAATTAATCCATTGAGTTGTTAATTAATGGTACTCATTATGACCTATTTAATTTGATTTCACCTTACATCATCATCACCACTACCATTCTCACTTCTATAT